GGTCTGAAATAAGGATCTCCTGGGGGTGGGGGCAGAGCTGTTGGAGTGGGCCAACTACCCACAATTCCACCTGCTCCTGAGACCGCCTCGTGGTTCCCCGAGTGTTCAGCGTTGGAAGCTGCCCCTTGCAGCAGGCAGGAGGAGGACCCCTCCAGCAGGTGCTCTGAGAACCACCCCTAGGTACTTGGTGGCAACAGGAGGCCAGGGTATGGAGAACCTGACCCCCCACGTTCCCAGCAGTGACACAAATCAAACTCAAGGGGCAGGATCCCTGCCTACCAAGGAGGCCTGGGTGGAAGCAGAAGGCAAGGGGCACTGAGGGCGCCGCCGAGAGGGACACGCGCACTCCTGGCCTCGGGAATAGCCAGGCGCAGGGGCTGCTCCTCAGTGGTGTCTGGACACAGGGGTCCAGGGGGACTCTTCACCACAGGGCTCGGCTCACACCCACCCTCGGGCAACGCCACAGCCGAGGCTGCTGGTTGTGCCCTTAAATCTCCGTTTAAATCAAAGTCTCTGGCTTAAAAAAATGCAGTGAGGAGGCCATGGTCCCGGGTGGCTCTCGGCGTCAACCCTGGCTCTGCCACTGTCAGCGATACGACTGCGGCACTGACCGCGCTGACCTGTGCCCATTTCTGCATCTGTGAAGCAGGTGACTGACGGCGCCGATGTCTAGGGGCTGTGGAGATTCCAGAGGCACGGGGCTATGCTTGGTGCCTGGCACACAGCAGGTGCCGGGAAGAGCTGGCTGGGCCCGTTTGGTTCTTTGTAATCTGACGAGCTGAGACACCGTGGGAAAAACCTAGAAAAGGGGCTGGCAAAGGACGGCCCTGAGCCAACCCGGCCACCGCTTATTTGAGTAGCTTCACTGGCGCAGAGCCAGGCTGGCTCCCTTAGGTCATGTCCAAGGCTGCTTTGGTGTCACAGGCAGGGACGAGTAGCAGCAACCAAGGGTCCACGACCCACATTGCCCACACTATTTATTATCTGGTCCTGTGCAGAAAAAGCGCATCGCCCCCTGACCTGAAGGAGTGGGAGCTCCACGTGGCTGCTGTGGCCTCCCAGTCCCCCTCTCCTGGAAGGCCAGCAGCTAGCACTCTGGATGGGAAGCACTCACAGAACCTCATGGTGGCCTCATGGGCCATGGGAAAGTGGGGACAGTGCTGGGGAAGCGCTGTCAGTATTCCGGGCTACCCGAGGCGAGGCCCCCCGTTTAGCACATACGGTAATGAACACCTAATGAACACCGCGAGCCTCGTCCCACTCCAGGAGCGCCCGCCCTCTGGAGTGCAGGGCAGTTCTGCTGCGACTCATCAGCAGGTGGTTTCAGGACAAATAACGGATCAACAGGGCGGAGCCGTCACAGCACTTTACCGCTTCTCAGAAACCTGGGGAGTAAGCAGAGCCAACCCAAGGTGGGGACTCGGGGACTCGGGAAATGCCTGGCCTGACAGTGCCCTGTCAGGAGGCGGGTCACCAAGCCTGGTGAAGAGCCCAGCACTGGCACCCAGAACCAGGTCTGCACCCTACGGAGGGAACTGGACATTTATGAATCTGTCACCAAGCAGAGCATCTAGAGATGAACAGCTGCAGACGCTGGATGAAAGAAGGGGGAAGGGGGGGGCAGGGGGGAGGAAGAGAGGGAGGGAGGGAGGGAGAGATGGGGGGGGGAGAGGAGAGCCTAACTAGCCAGAACTGTCTTTACTTCACTGAATTTCCTGTGGCAAGGCTCTGTCCGCATGTCCTGATTCTGCCCTCTGACCTGCGGTGGTCTCGCTGGGAAGCACGCTGAGAGCCATTTCCATGGACAACATGTGCATCGAGAGTGGCCTGCTTACACTTGAGACTTATGTGCCTGCGGCCATGAGGCTGGCGAGCACCCTGGCTCGGCCTTCCCAGGAGCAGAAAGAGGTCACTGGTCCTGGTTGTGCAGGTGACAGGGATGCTCTAGAAGCTGACGGTGGAGGAGTCTGATGAAGGTTACCTCACAACACCCCATCTGGGGGCCTGGCAAACCAGACCCGGCCTCACTAGTCAAATCCAGCCTGTGTCTCACGTTTTGCTGCAACAGACACTGGCTTACGTACCACCATCTCTGGCTGTTTCTGCACAGCAAGCAAGGGCAGAGCTGAGGAGCTCGCACAGCCCAGATGGCCACAGCCCGACATATTTACTGCTTAGCCTTTTGTAGGAAGTAGGTGGACCCCCATCAGACGATCTTCGGACGTTGTGGACCAGGACATACATGGCTGGCAGGATTCCACCTCCATCTGAGGGCGTTTTGGGAGACTTGGGGACGGACATGGACTTCTGGCTCGGCAGCCAGTCTGTGGCGAGGTTACTGACTGCAGCAGCGGTACATTCTGGGGGTGGAAGATGGTCTCAGCAGTCTGGCTTAGGACTTCCTTAGTCCCTGACCTGCCTCGCAGGTGCCTGGAAACGGAGGAGGCAGCATGGGCGTGGCTTCCCACTTCTCTTATCAACTTTGTCCCATCAGCCACTGAGTTACCACAGCCTGCTGGCTGCTGCGACTTGGCTGCTGAGGTCGGAGACAACAACTCTTGATTGTCCACTCAGCCCACAGGACACAAAGAGGCCTGGGCACAGGTCAGCAGATAACTCTTGTGGGCAAAAAGGAGCAGGTCCAGGAACAGAGTTTCCAACAAGGGAGGTGACTCTGGGGAACAACTGTCACACCTGCCCTTGAAGAGTGCCCAAGCTAATGTGGGACAAGACACTGGAGACTTAATAAGCTGCGTGGGCTGCGGCAGCCCCGACGGCACCCCAAGACAGAGGAGGTTTCCTGCAGGAAGCAGCCCTGGCTGGCCCCGGGGCTCTGAGGAGTGGGCAGGAATCACGGCTACAGAGACAGCGTGTCCATTTCAGGGGTCTTCCAAGAAGAGAGGGCAGCAGTCCTCTGAACTCTTTGCCTGTGCTTTGAAAAAGGGGCACCTGGAACCAAAGCCAAGACAAGACAGGTGGGCCAGGGGATCTTTTTAAAGGTCCCTCCTCATGGGACTCTAAGCTGCAGCCAGGATGGAGCACCACTGTGTCACGAGCTGATTATTTCAAATTGGTGCCTCCAGCAAAACAGATCAGTTACTCAAGACATGGGACCCCAAAGACCCAGCTCTCGACAATGAGAAGAGCCCACCTGGGATGGGGATGTTCTTCTTTTGTCCAGGGACACATTTTAACTTGGTAAGAGAAATGTAGGGAGGAGTCATGAAGCAGCGGTGCCCCTCCCGGGGAGGGCAAGCCACCCTGGGGGAGCAGCAGGGCCAACAGAGTTCTAAAGTCTCCTTTGAACAAAAAAGCGGCCCACGACATGACGGTGTCAGATGGGAGGAAGGATGAGACACAGGGTCAGCATGTCAGACGGACGGGTACGGATTCTCGTGGCCTGCCTGGCCTTGGGGCTGCTGGAGAGCTGCACTTCCCGCTTCTTCTAGTGCCGTCTGGGAAGAGGACTGGTTCTGAAGGGCACTGCCGCTGCTCAATGTCTCCAAAGCAGAAAGCGTGACCCCCAAGCGGCACTGGCAGAGTTCCTGGGAAGCACCCCATTCCCGCAGGAGCTCCAATTCAGCAGGACAACCTGGAACTTGGCCTTGGCACTCTCCCTCCCTCCCAACCACCCCAAGTCCTCAACTCTACAGTCACCAGTGCCACCTAGAAAAAACACATTCTGGAGCCAGAACTTCTCCTTTCTCTGGCACCCAGGACACCAAATTTGAGGGTCTAAGAACCAAGTGTGAACTCTCTCCTTCCAGATGAAGGATCACAGAACTCCCACACCAGGCCCTTGCAACCAAGCTGCTAGGACAAGACGGACAAAAATGCTGGTGGAGTCTCTCGCTTCCTCAGAGGAGGTCAGTGCAGGAAGCTGGGCTTCAGATTTACCAAGCTGAAGAAGGGCCAGGGAGGTCGACTTTAAAAGCCGGTTATGATGCGCACAAAGACAGGAGATCCAAGTGAGTTCAGTAGGAGGCGGTTTGGTAAATGAGTGGGACAGGAAGAGAGCGCTGCCATTTGTTAGAGGCCGTGATGTCTCAACTGGCCCTGGTAGCCTTGGGGCTGGGGGTCCTGACCTCCATTTCCACATAAGGAGTCCAAGATGTGAGGAGGAGCCAGGGGTGTGCTGACTGTGCTGTGGCCCAAGAGCTGGCTCCTGAGGCTCCTTGGGTCCCTGCTGCCTTGGGCCAGACGTCTGCTTTCTTGTCTGTACCATGACTATAGTGTATAACGTCCCTTTCTACCATCTCTCGCCTCTTACTCGACTACCACGCTGACTTGGAATTTATCTGTCCCTAGTTCTGTCGTCCATGTTGGGCTGCACAATTCCTTTTATTCATCTTAGACCCTCTAGTAATACTGAGTGCCGGACCCATGACTGCTTAGACCGACGAGAGCATGAGCGACAGACCATCACCATGAGCGCACACACCTCATCTGAAATAGAAAACCAGAAGGCTCACCTCGGAAATCAACCCGAACACTCTGGAAATGCAGCAATCTGTACTGAATCTGTCCACTCTCATGCCCACCTCTCCCAAGGCTGCGTACTCTAGAAAGCAGTTAAAACCACAGAACAGTCATCGCTCATCCAGAAAGAAGAGACCAGAGAAGACACTGTCCAGAGGAGAGGCGAATCAGCCCCAGACCACAATGCCACGATCTTGAACAGTCAGGATCTCACTTAAAAAATATTCTCGATTTCCATATTTCCCCCCACTGGAAAAAAAATGTTTTAAAAACCCCTTTAGTTTACTGCTGAGCTTTTAAAGACAGAAAATTATTTCAGAAACCAAGAGTAACATCCTAGTGTGTCACGCGTACCTTTCCAGAAGAAGTTTGCAATAAAAACACAAAACCCATTTCTTCCCCTTTCTTTTTCCCAGAGTGGGAGTGCTGCACACCACAAAATTCTAGAAAGACCCGTAGAGCGGGCTGCAGCGTTCCGCACCAGCCGAAGCATCAGGGAAACAAGCACTCGAGCACACAAGTGGCATTTTGTGATCAAATTTATTTTTTGTTTAAATTTCATTTACTTTGTTTTACTGTAATTTACACAAGAGACTGCCAAGTAAACTAGGTATTTTACATTCACCACACATTCCCTCAAATCTCCACAGTTGTTAGAAAGACATTAAAATCCATGTGCCGGGCTCTCATTTCCATGTGTGCCCAAGCTCCCAACGAGACTGCAGATGCCAGCAAGAGTTAGGTTTGTTAGGAGAGAGGCCTGGACTCTCCATTCCACAAATCAGCATCGCCTTCCTCGCACCCGACGCTCTGCAGGTGACGATCATGCTCTGACAGACCCATTACCCTCAGAGCCCCGAGAGGAAACATGGTCTGTATCCTGAGTACGCGGAGGACGTTTGAGACGCGGGGTGTGCTGCTGAGGTACCAGGGTCTCAATGCGGCAGCACTCGGGTCGGGACACAGGACACATGGGAAAGCGCAGAGCAACAAGGGCAGGACTGTCAGCAAATCGGATGACTACCGCGCTCTGACGGCAGGCCAGGGTGGGGTTAGGAGGAGCAGGGGGTTACAGACAACAGTTTGTGGCCTGAAGGCCTCAAGGATATCACTGCACTCAAGCTTCCAGGCCTGACAGGGGAAAAGCTGCATCCAGACAGAGAAAGCGGATAAAGATCTACCCAGCCACTGCTCCTTCTTTAAAAAAAAAAAAAAAAAAAGTGGCAGTGACGTCTAACCAGCACTTTCCTGATGCCTCCTCAGGGAATGTCACTGGGTGTCCTACTAGAGAGCAGATCCAGAAGTCGGGGTCACTAGCCCCCCAGGGCCCCGAGCGGCACTGCACCATCCCACCTCGAAGGCAGCCCCCCATCCGAGTGCACTGCCACACAGAAAGAGCACACTGTCACCCGGCCCTGCCCGGCCCGGCCGCAAGGCTTCTGGACCGTCCGCGCGGTCTCTGCATTAACCCCAGAAAAGGGCCGCTTCAGAAATGAGACCCTGGGAGGCGCTGGCACCCAGCCTTTCTATGCAGCCTCCGATACCGTTCAGACTGACTTCTTTATCGAGCCTGAAAATGTTCTAGTGTTTACTATAAATCACAAATTGTCATCTTCATTTTTCTAGGTTTGATGTAGAAAAATACTTGAAATTTAAAATACAAAACTCCAATAAAAACCAGAAAAAATTTTTTAAAAGGATTTTCCCCTCAAACTAGTAAAAACTGGCCTGTAACTTTACTCCTTATTTAATAGATATCATCAAATTTGGCTGGAAGATAATGACCATCCAGAAATAAATAGTTATAAATACATTCAGAGTTGACATTCCAGATTCATGGGAGTACCAAAAAGTTTTGAAGGAATCTCTCTGTGGGAGTCTGCTGCTTATGGGACTAAAATAAAAATTTATAAGAGACTGATTTAAAAGAACAGAAAAATAACAAAAGGCTATATATGTTGGTCCACAGCTTGACATTTATGAAACATACCAGCTCGTATCACATCGCAGTCAATTTGTCCATTAATGGTTTTACTCTGATAATTATTAAAATCTGTTCCAGGTATATATACTGAAAATATTTTCTTTTGCATTCTTGCTGAAGATAGATACAGTACGTTGGAGAAAGTGTACTAATCCCTTCAGGATGTTTGTATGTACATATATACACACACACACCTGTGCATCCGGGTCTGCAGCTCTACATGCGTTCTATATACAGCCACAGACACACACACACACACACAGACACATGTGGCTGGGAACCTGTGCGTGTGTGTGCGTTTCCACAAGCACACGTTGGAAACTTCAACACTGCAAGACACTGGTCAGATTCGTCTTCACTCGTCACTGGCTGCACTGGTTCCCCTCACTTGACCTTGATTACGTAACTGCAAGAAAAGCGGAAGACAGTGAGAACGCGTTACCACACAGGGGACGAAGGACAGCAGCTTGTCCCGCACACTCACCAGAAAAAATCTGTCAATGTGGCAAAACTTTTGGCAGAAAATTTATCCCAACTACTGCACCTTAAAATTTTACTCTGTTCAAATAGATTCTGGTCTTACTAATGGCATAACATTTTGTTTCATCAGATGGAAAATTAAATTAGAAGCAAAATAAATCACAGAAGCTTAGCAGAACTTAATAACATAACAGTAACCCAAGAAAAACTTTTAAAAAATGAACACTATATAAAGAGAGAGCTTCTGCAGAAGCCTGGGAGAGGCGCTCCATTCTTATTTGGTACAATCACCCCTTTCCATGGATGGGCACCCCAGTCACTGCTTAGCACTGGGAGCAGCAGCTTACTAAGGAGGAAGCAAAGAGCCATGGTGGAGAGGGGAGCCCCCAGCCCCCATGAACATCGAGGTTCGGGGTTTGCCCGGGAGAACGGGCCGTCACTTCTGTTTCCCTACACTCATTCCAATGTGCGGTCCCGACTGTGGTATTTATTCTTATTCCCCTTTTAGGGCAATCTGTTATCTGGCATATGAGTTGTATTAGATAAATAAGATCATGGAAATCTTTTGCTATTAGTTAAAAAAACAAAGTGCATTTACACAGAGAAAAGCTAGCTCAGAGATAACTGAAGGTCAACCACGGAGGAGCGCTCTGTGATGCACAGAAACAAATCTCACCTAATTTTTTTAAGGGAATCAATCACCAAGGCTGGCCCTTACAGTATGGGGTGAGGGCTCTTTGTTTCCTCACTAACCCCACAGGGCCCTACTGAGCAGCAGGCCAGTCACCTGGCTACTGAACTAGCCAGCTTCCAAGATGATGCCTGCGATAAGCAAGGGCACAGGCAGCTGGCTCCTGATGTGGCGAGCCCTGACAACTACACTCCACCTGAGTCTCACAGTGTGACAACTCAGGCGTTCACTGTCTGTTTCTAAACTATCTATCTACTATATTTTAAAAATAAAGCCACATTTAACACTTGGTCAGAGCCCCTGTGCTCAGCAAGTCAACTCCCCCTTACCAACAGGTACAGGTTTGAAACATTCTTTTTATCCAGGTCTTCACTTACACAGTGTGATATTGTCTCTGACCCTACAGGGGACTCATCTAGACATCAGCAGCCGACGTGCCTCGGACGGTACCCTTCTTACGCATCTAAACGTAAAATAAAATCATGAGCTGCTAAAATCAGACTCTGAGTAGGGGTTAGTAAGCAAGAGGAGAAAGAGGACCTAGATGAGCTAATGAGGCGAAGGCCACCTGTTGACAGCCATATCCTCCTGTGAGTGAAGTGCTGAGGCCCCGCCAACATTCCTGGCCTAAAGACTCTTGCAAGAAAGAGGCTTTCCTTACAGACTGAAAAATCTGTGGACCTTTGTATCATCTTGTATCTGACAAAGGCCTACAGACTGACAGGAACTGATCACAGACACTGATGGTACATGAGCCGTTGTCAATACAATGTGACAAACTGCCCCTAAGTTGGTTTATACTTTTGTAGTCCCCAGACCAGGCAGAAGCCATGGGGGCAGGAGTGGGGGGGGGAGTGGTGGAACGGGACCTCTGCTGCTTCTGAGACCAGGTCTCTCGGGTTCTTTAAAGCAAGGTTGCTGAAAGGAAAGTGAATAAAAGCAGCAAGCAAGCCCAGATACAGGATGGCAGAGAAGCGAGGAGGGAAGGATCAACAGAAAGGGCAGGTGTTAACAGCAGACTACAGACAGACAGACCTCAACGAGCAAAACCAAAGAAAATGTCATCAACACACTGCGTCCACCCCCCAGAGGCCAGCAGGGAACAGGGGGGACACCTGTCCCAGGAAGCCCTGCAGGTGCTGGGCTGAACCCCAGCAGCTCTGTGGGGGCCCAGCCTCCTAGGTGCCAGGCCTTCTCTACCTGACCAAAACCTGGTCACGAGAAAACGAGCGGATTCTGAAAGACCTGTGAGTAAGAGCATCACAATGCATCGGGTGACGCCACCAGGCATCAGGAGGCAGGACCTGAGGGCAGGGCAAAATCCTAAAGAGCACTTGAAATCACTAGGCCTCACATGTGCGTGCGCCCCACCATCTGAAGATGCCCAGACCCACTCTCATGGCAGCAGAAATGCCACGAGGAACAAGGCACTCCCCGGTGACTGAGAGCAAGAGAACTTAGGTAGGACTCCATATCAAGACAGTCAGCTGTACGGGACTCGGATCAGCCTGGCCACGTGGGTGCGAGGATGCAGGGCTCATCACCTGGGGCTCTGAGCTGCTGTCTCCCCCACACCTTCTGGAACCCCATTTCCAACCCACATGTCACAGACTTGCGTGGAGCAGCAGCTGAGCCTGCAGGGCCACTGCCACAGATGGCAACCAGTCACCAGTTCCCACCGGGGGTCCCGCCATGGGTTCAGGTCATCAGGAGACTGAACTTGCACAGGCAGCAGGAGTGGAGAAGAGATGTTGCCGAGTTCTATCTAAGAACTTCCCTGGGACTCAGAGCCCAGGCCAGGCGGGGAGGGCTGCAGCCACCCGCTGGCCAGCGCTGCCTGCTCTTCTTCATGTGGGACAATTCTTCAGTGAAACACCCAGAACCAAGAGAAGGCCTTTTTCCCAAGGGCTCAAACCAACAGAAACAAGCTCATTTTCTGTTTCCTCTGGGGGTGGCAAAGCCTCACTGGCAATGGCAGAGCTGTGCCACGAGCCTAGGTAAATGCAAGCCAGCACGCAGCTCCCCATGCACAGGACACCAGCTGCACAGAGGGGCCAGAGGTGGACAGCAGTGTCTTCGCAGCCTGGGACACGTGGAGGAGGGAGCGACCCCAGGCAAGGCAGGAGGAAAGCAACTGAACCTGGGCGGGGTGGTGACAGATGCTTCTCAGAGGCAGAGAAGGCACCTCACTGTTGAGAACAGGGCACAAAAGTGGGCAAGAGGCAGGGAAAGGAAGAAGGGAGGCACCCACGACCTGCTCTGGCCTGTTTACCACCCAAGGCCAGCGCAAAGGCAAAGGCCTGGGGAGTGCCTGGACTCCCGCATCTCCTCATCCCACCCAGGACCTGGCTCTCAGAGCCCTGCCACTGAGAAGGAGAAACTAGGGCTGATCTAGAAACCAACTCAACTATGATGTGATCCTATGGCAAAATACGCTCCAAATTTCAAACAATCAACCTAAAAAAATTTGGAGCAAAATCCATTCATAAGTTGGAGTCTGCCTATAGTTTACTTTGTGTATAAGATAAGGTTAAGACATTTTATTGCCTTATAAAGAAAATATGTCCGAGCCCTCTCAGAAGGTTTGTATAAAGCTAATTAGAAGCAGACCTGTTGTAATCACCAAAAGTAAGCAATTTTAAAAACAGATTCTTTACAATGAGATGTGCCAGAGAAATAGGTTCCCTCTGTGCCAAAGAACCTGACATGCGGCCACTCTCCCCCGGCTAAACTAGGCTCCCCCTCACCCGCGGGAGTTGGTCAAACACACGCGCACCTGTGGACTTCCAGAGCTGGGCCTGCTGGCAGGACTCGAGGTGACCACATGGAAACCACTAGCAGGCCTTAGACATTCCTTGGGTTCATTTCCCCTCTGGGGCCTTGCTGCCAACTGCAGACAAGCGTGGCCCAGGGCAAAACCAAAACCAGACACATGCAAGAGGAAGCCAGGGAAGAATCCATCCCTGAGAGAAAGGAGACACCCACTGGTGACAGGGCTGCTGCGGCAAAGGGAGGAGCTGGAAGGGGCTCAATCCTAACCCAGCAGGCTGACCTCCTGCCAGGGGTCCCCAGAAGGCGCCCCAAACTCAGAACAAGTCAGCACTCACTGCAGATCGGGGAGGGAGGAGGCATTTCTAGATCAGTGACCACACCAGCCTTACCTTGGGCACAGAAGAGGGAATCAGGACTTCAATCAGCTATGACAGAAACTGAGCCAAAGGCTCTCACTTCTGACAAAGGGACTCTAAAAGGACTGAACTAATGTGACAAGTCCTTGTTCCCTCTTCTGTTAGAGAAGTAATGCATGAGAAGAACTACAAAACCACTGGGCAGTTCACAGGTGACAAAGTCCAGATCCAGAAAGCTCTAGTCCACCTTCAGGAAAGATGATCAACAAGAGAGGAGTCAGAACCCAGGAAGCAGGCATTAGTGTCTAGAAACTCCACTGTGATGCAGACAGAGCAGGGAGAGGCTTCAGGAACACTCTTCCTAGTTCTAGGTCTACACAGTTTCAGACAGGGGAAATGAGGGGATTCCCGTAGAATGGCAAGTCTTACTGTTTCTAGTTCTTTCTGAGTCTCGTCTTCCATTCTCCTAATATCCTCCATTGTCAGATCAATCCACTTGTCGATCCAACAAAAAAGCTGGCGATGAAAGTTTGTAAATATCCTTTTTTCTTGCTTTTAAAACAAAGAAGAAAAGTAGCATAAGATGGCAAAAGTCTGAGATTAATGACACACTGACGTTACATGTCCCAATTAACCCACGAAACTCACATTTTTAGTTGGTTTGAAAAGGCCACCCTATGAAGCCTAGTGGAAATCTTAATTCCACCCTATTATCATCTTGAACGGCAAAATAGAGAAAAATTTCTCTGTGAAGTGGGAAATGATCTCCCCTGGCCGAGGGGTAATGATCTAGTAGAAACGAGAAAAAAAAAAAAAAAGTGGTGTGCACCACCTGATCCAGCACACTCCTGCTGGACCTGATCTATTTTTACCTTTTCCTAAATGTCAGTGAGCAAAGGCCGACAGGATATTTTTTCTGCTATAAAACTACACACTGTCATTCTTCACCTCTCTGCATTTCAAGGGAGTACTGAGAGGTGGCACAGAAAAAAATGGACTGAGAGAAAGAGAGACCTGGGTTCCTTGGAATAAAGAGGTTTTATTAAATTTAGAATTCTTAGACACTCACCACTAATTTTTCAGTGCTACGTTACTGCCACTACACACACATAAGTGTGTATGTGTTATATATATATATATATATATATATATATATGGCTTATATACATATATATGTCTATATAAAAGCCACGTATACTATAATGGTTTTAACTGCTGAATGACTTAAGCTGTACTCAATGTTCTTGAGAGAAGCGAATGAAAACAGTGAGTACTGCTGAACAATCTTCAGTTTTTCTAACTTTTGTCCATGAACTAACTTTATCGATTACATGTGTGACTTCTGCTTATCGAAACTGGCCTGCTCGTCCAGTCCTCCGCCCTACGAGGAAGGAAGCCAGTGTTCTCGCAGAGCCGGCTGTGGGCCAACAGGCAGCGGGCACTGCGGGGTCCCCGTCCTGTAGCTATGGGGGAGCAGACATAGCTAGTGGTGGGAATCAGAAATATAACGGGGGCTTCCTTTGAATGATAATGAAATAAACATTCATACTACAGAAAAAGTAAAGACCAGGACACTTTCCTGGTTCCTTGTGGATTTCTAATCAGGTGCATTCTGTCGTTCGTTTGCTTTCGGCACCGAGGTCTGAACCAGGGCTCCGTGAGAGCTGCACAGCGCTCAACCATAATCGGTGCTATGTAAGCGGAGCTCCGCGTCCTCAGAGATCTGAACTACCTATACGTTGCTTTCCCTTTAGTGATAAGGACAAAAAAACAAAAGCCAATTAGGATCTGGGTCCTCAGATCATGTAAAGTTAATTCAGAGTGCCCTGCTCTCATGAGCACCTCTAGGGACCCCCACATGAAGGCACAGTTGTGTGTGTCACAAAGACGGGGTGGGGCAGCGGAACCTTCAGGAGGCAAAGCCTACCCACTCTGGCACCTGTCTTTGTGGTTTCTAAGGATAAAAAGGGCAGAAACTGATTGCACAAATAATTTTCATCTCATAATGGAGGGATAAAAAGTAATAGCAGAAAAAAATCTCCCCCCAGTAGCTACCTCAAATCTGAACCTGGTCCCAAGGCACCACGTTCTCAACAGATGTTACCTTCTGAATGAAGTTCTCCACTTTGCTCTGTAAGCCCCACCACTTGAACTTGATGGTCACTAGCTTGTAGGCACACATCCGAGGGCAGTCAGTGTCGTCTGCCAGCTCCTTCTGCGTGAGGGAAAATGAAAAGGAGAAACGTTAAAACCAACGGTTGTGCGACACAAGCACAGACATATGTGAAGAAAATCAATCACAGTCTCGAGTGTTTAATTCCAGTATGTGGAAATTCAAAATCATTTCTGAAAAAGCAGCAGCCCAACCCCCCTGCTGGGAACAGTCCTCCCACAGACCAAGGGACTTCCATCTGACCTCCAAAATTCAACGGGCATGCTGCTGGGCCTCAACAGCTACTCCTCTCCAGATGCCTTATTAAATACCAACCTCTACTCACATCATGTCAAAAGTGAGCTTTTACTACATATGGATCTTCCTAACGCCAGTACCACACAACCGCCTGTGGAAGTGGTGAGTCACAATAAAATGTCAAGGACCTTCAGTTGTCTGTGCACTGCTGATAAGCTGCACAGATGATATAATATGGATTTTAATTTTCACTAATGATTACATCTCCCAGCTTAAGTGGTGTAGCCAGGGAATGAAACCGAGTCTTGTTCTGGACAACAGGAGTGTGAGGAAAAGGACGAGAGAGAGGTTCAGGGATCAACTGGATTAAGAGAGTCAAAATATAATGTCTGCAACTTATTTTCAGGAGACGACAAGAAAAAAGCAATTAGCAGCAGAAGCCACAGATGTCAGTCACCCTGCGTTCAAAGTATGAAAACTTATTCTTAATGTGTAGGTTTCACCAAAAAATAATTTAAATACCGAATGCAGACGGGTTCCCTGCTCTCATTTCAGTTTTCGGGACAGTTTTGAAATTTCTCACTAAATCACCGTCAGGGGTGGCAACCTGTGGCACTTGTGCCTTCGACCATTAGTTACCGTGGGTATTTTCAGGAGGGGGCTTGTGTGTTCACTTGGGTCCGCTTAGTGGAAGGGTTCTCTTTCAAAGTGGTGTGTGAGGGAGACCCAAACAGTCCTGAGCAGGTCCAGAGGCTGGGACAGGCCCCTGGCAGGAGGCCAGCCCCATATTCCTGCCCTCGGGGCCCCCAGTCTACTGGATAAGGAAGGCACATAGCAAAGAAAATGGGACACAGAGGCCGACTGCAGGGATAGTCTGGGAAAGGACAGTTCCCCAAGCCTAATCCCCAAAGCTGGTGGCCTGTGAGACCATAGTAAACAACAACAAAAGCCCCCAAAATGTCATATTCTGAGGATTAAATAAAGCAGTACATGTTCCATGCTTGGTAGGACTCCAGGGCTTAATACATATTAGTTTCCTCTCTTCTTATTTGTTAGTAGCTTAATTTATCTATTTATTCTTATGTAATGCTGAGGATTGAACCTAGGGCTCTCCGCAGGCCAGGCGAGTGCTCTACCACTGAGCCCCTTATCTGTGACTTTCAATCTTCACACAAGTTTAACCAAATTCTTCTTCATCCAAGTAAACAGTTCAAGTCACGTGCACTGCAGGGACCTCCTGCAGAAACTAAATCACCAAGCCCAAGGTGGGTGCTCCCAAGGTGGGAGCACAACAAAATGCCAGTCACACCAGCTGCCACCGCTGCTTCCTCTTGTCCCAAACCACTTGGGCATCCTGCTCTCAGAACTCCGAATGTGAGCGAAGGTCCTGTCACTCAATTGATTTCAGAAAAGGAGGAATTTCCAGATCTTTACTCAAAGTCCTCAAGGCTATCTTTCATTTATTCGACTATAGAACCACATCACATTTCCCCAAAAGTAGGATGTCCCCATATTTATTTTATTTATTTTTTGTACCAGGGATTGAACTCAGGGACACTCAACCACTGAGCCCCAACCCCATCCCTATTTTGTATTTTATTTAGAGACAGGGTCTCACTGAGCTGCTGAGGGCCTTGCTAAGTTGCCGAGGCTGGCTTTGAACTCGTGATCCTCCTGCCTTATCCGCCGGAGCTACTGGGATTGCAAGTGTGCACCACTGTGCCCAGCTGATGTCCCAGTTTTAAGTGAATCTAGGGATATGCCTATTAAAAAATTCTATCTTGTTATCAGTGGGAGTAAAAGTTCTGTGGAGTCCTGCATGACTAGCTTTCCTCAGGATTCTGTTCTAATGTAACATTTCACCTGATGTTTTGTTTTACCGAGAGACAGGTTCAAGGCTGTCCTTGAACTCAGGATCCTCCTGCCTCAGCTTCCCGAGTAGCTGGGATTCAGGTGCACATTACTGTGCCTGACTCATCTTCTGAGCCTGGTAAGGGGTTGAATCAAGGAGGTAACATCAGCAAGCATTAAAAAAAAAAAAAAAAAAATGACATCACGCTGTCCCTTTGTAGGTGAGTTCCACATGAACAGAGCGAGCTGGCTGGCCTAGTTCCATTTTCCCATGAACTCTCCCACCTCACTAGAGTGCCTGTGAGATTCAGCCAGTGGATGTGTGAACACAGACACGGGGATGAGTAGGTGCTTCAACCAGGGTTCAGTGGGCACCATTTACACTTCCACCCATGAGAGGTTCTGTCAGGGCACCTGAACATGGCTTAAAGAAAAGACCACGATTGGGGGCTGGAATTGTGGCTCAGCGGTAGAGCACTCGCCTAGCACAGGGGCCCGGGTTCGATCCTACTAGCACCACATAAAAATAAAGGCATTGTGTTGTGTCCATCTACACCTAAAAATAAATATTAAAAAAAAAAAAAAGACCACAATTACGTGTACACACAGCAATGACCCCCTCCCCCACTGTCCTTGGTGTCGGTCATCTCTTTCAGAGGGGACACACCTCCTGTTGTGGATGTTGTGGCCCTGGGCCAAAAATGGCACACTGGCATCTCTCCCTCATTTTTCTTGGTGCCGGGGATCCCACCTAGGAGCACTTTAGCCACTGAGCTTCATCCCTTGTCCCTTTGTTTATTTTTTTAGTTTTGAAATGCGGTCTTGCTAAGTTGCTGAGGCTGGCCTCGAACTTGTGATTCTCCTGCCTCAGTCACTGGAATTACAGGAGTGTGTTGCCGCGCCCAGCCCAGCTCGCTCTCTTCTTGTCCTGCAAGTCCCTGGCACCAAGTTGAGTCTGGTGTGTGGAGTGGTCAACAGGCCTTCCGTGAGCAGTCGCTAGCTTCGGAGGCTCAGCTTTGCTGAAATAAGGACTGTCTTCCGGAGATGATCTTTCAATAAGCACTGAGCTCATCCCGAGGAGCTTTCCGACCCAGGCGACAGGACTTGTATATGTGTGGAAGGAATATGGAACTTGAACTGTGAAGTCCAGCCTGCAGTGCCACCCTAGGAGCTCCCATCACACACTCACTTCCTGCACTCACTTCCTGTGTGACCGGCAGGATCTTTGACCTCTGCGAGCCTCGCTCCTCTGGCAGGAGCAGGCAGGGCAGCTGGACTTAGCAGTTTTCTTCATTTTCTGCTGAGGTGAAACTGAAAGCAGGGTTGAGTGAACTTGGCTCCTCAAGGGTCAGGGTCGACCCAGGACTACGGATTATAAACACACGTGTCCTTTACATTCAAAGACTTATCTTAAAACTTGCTGGAATCTTATTTTTATTCTATAGTATGTTTTGGCTTACTAAAACACCCACCTACCTTCCCAGGCTGGATCTCCTCTCTAGCTGACATCGATCCCTCTTACTGATTAACCCCAAGACACCTTCCAGATAGAACATTCAAAGGTCCTTCCTTGAACCTGGGGCTGGTGACAGCTTCTGAAACCCCAAGCACTAGACACCGTTCTCCACAAAAACCTCGGATGTTCCTGGTGGAATACCAACTCTTCAGAATTCTACCCCAATTTTATAAAAACACAGGAGGAAGAATGGTTCTAATTAAGTGTTAGCAAAATGCTGTACAAACACGCCTCTGCCCAACTCGGGTTCCAAGCACGGAGAGCACATATGTGAAGCCAGCAACTAACCAGGTTTGTTCATCTCATACTTTCTATTAGATCTGGGGAAGAGGCTCAAATCAATTAAGTTAATGCTGGCAATTTATTAGGTAATATTGTTCTCTAAAGCTATTTTAAAAACTAAGCAATGAAACAAAAAAAGCAACAGTTCTCTAAGATGTATATTCATTCTCAATCTACTTTTTGTTTTCCATCCACTTTAAAAGTAATTATTAAAAAACAATACAAATTATTCAGGGAATAATGTGTAAACCAACCAAAGTTCAAACAGATAAAAAGCCTGCTACCTTTAATTTCTGGTCTCTTTCCCACAGTATTGATAGCTCACATAGGAGGCACAAAAAGTAACTTCCAGAACCACAATCCCAAACAGCCCCAAGAGAAAGCTGAGCACACACAAGCTGCACATTTCTTCAATTGTTTTTGCATAAACACAGTATTTAAGGTCTCACCCAATCCTGCACGTGACTTATAGGAGTCATCTCTTTTTCTGAGCTATGGCCTTTGAACTCCTGATTAAATTAAGGACAGGGATTTAAAAATCCTCCATACTAGATGACAAAACAGAAAACCGTGAAACTGCCCATACTTGCTCGGTAAACAAAGCCTGGAAGAACCCTTTTGGTGCGTCTTTCTGGGAAGAAATCTAATACTATGTAATAAAGTCTTAAAGCTGTTTATATCCTACCACAGACCCTTTAATCTGGTATTTTCACTTTCAAAAATGTACCCTCTTCATCAGGTAAGGAAACAGCAACACCCTAGATTTATATGTAACAGCAAAACCCCTATACTTATTAATTATTAACCTCAACACCCACTAAGAGAGAGTGGTGAAATACTTCAACAGCCTTCCAAACAATGGGCCATTATGCAGAGAGCCATTAAAGGCCATCTTTCAAAGAACAGCTCACAATGTGTGTTGGGGGGGGGGGGCATTAATATAAATAAGGTATCTGTATATGGTAAAAACATTTGTAACAAAATAAACTACAGGAATCATGAAATATACCAATAGTAGTAATTAAATGATGAAAATAACAAATGATTTTTATTTTCTTTTGAGTATGATTTCTTACTTTCAAAACTCCCCATATTTTATCATGGAGAGGAAACTATGTTTAAAAAAAATTGGCTCTAAAGAATGTGTTGGCACACA